AACTCCTCGTAAACCAATTTTTTCCCTATCTTTTCTTCTGTCCATAATTATTTATTAATAAATAATGAACATAGAGCAGTTCTGGACTAACATAACCTATACAATTTATATAAATATACTAACTTGGATAGTTTAACAAATTAGTGTATTTAGACGTGCAGCGCCAATTCGAACGAACTAAGGATTGTTGGTTTAATCGAAATTTACTTTATCTGCGTATGAAATTTTACAATTATGTACCCGACGATTCTAATTTTCTATTTGGGGTAAATTTTTGCTAAATTTACGAAACTTAGTAGTTAGGATTTAAAACGCCTTTATTTATTTAATGTAATTTAACAAAGGAAAGACAAATTTATTTTATTTGATAATTGAATAGATTTTTTAATGTATTCATAATTTTAAATCATATCTATATAAGATCGATTACAATAAAAAATAAAATAAACTAAAATTAAGATAAAAATTTATAAATTTTTCATTAGCAAATTTTTCAAAGAGGAGAAAACTATTTTGTATTTTTCATCTTATAATAGCGTATTATCGAATTCGTTAAATAGGGAAAACTTATTGAAATATCGCATGTAAAATGTAAACCATCTCTGCAATAAAAATTGAAATGTTCAGTAAGATTTGGAAACAGCTGTTCTGTATTTGCAATGAAAACCGTTATTTCATTAATTATTTTATTAATCCTCAAATCTCCTCGTTGAGCGCGACTAGATCTAATTGTAGACTCATTTCATGTCCATTTCATGGTTAAATGACAATTGGTATAAAAATTAGAATAATAGACACCGTTTAATAGTGCATTCAAACAAGTAGTAAAAGAAAACGAAAATGTACGGATCTAAGGTTACCATCTCGATTTGTTCAGTTCATATATGCAATTCTCTCTCTTATCATCAAAAAGAGGACGTTCGAGGAACATCCTGAACGAAAATTTTGCCTCTTCTTAAAGAGGGAAGCAATCAATGTAATGCGCACACGGGTGTGAAATAATATAATGTTGTTCTTCGCTCTTTCTTTTCTGACTTCCTCATTTTTCAATTCCTTTTTTGTTCGTTTTTATACATTCTATATCCTCTTGTAACTCCTTCTCACCTCTTTTTTGTGTTCTTCTCGGGCGTTCTACGAGTTTAGTTTGTTTTCTTTTTCCATCTGTCTTCTCTGTCATTGCCTTCATTTTATCTCTGTGTATATATATTTCTCTTTTTAACTCTTACTCTTTCTGTCTTTTGTTTATTTCCTTACTTTCAATTTGTTTTCTCTCTGTATCTCTTCGTCTATGCCTCAGCACTCTGCTCTTTGTATACACTCAAAAGAATTTCTTAGCATTTCTAATCTGTTTCGTTGTTTTTCCGTTAAAAAATCGTTTTTAATAATTGGCACGATGACTGATCATAAGATACTAAAAAAATATTAAATAATCAATGCTTTATTTAAATTTATTTTATATATCAAATCTTATTTTATAGATTTTTTATGGAATATTTGTATTGCATTTATAAAATATATAAAGTATATATGCAGGTATTTAAGGAAATACTCGCAAAACATATAACTGAATATATATATATATTATATATTATATAAGTAATACAAAAATTGATTTATATTATATCATGTTCTACAGCCAATTTCAAATCCTATATTTCTTATAATTATTTATAATTTCTTATTATATAAATATATACAAAATGTCGAAAGAAAAAAAACTTACGTAGATAAATGTAAATTATGTCTTTTTCATAGATTATTTAAAGTTGCCTATATAATAAGATAGAACATAAATCAATTACATAATATTCAACAACTTTGAGAGACATTGGGATATTCCTTATATATATATATATATTTATTTTTTTTTAACTCATTGGTCCATTATAATAAAAATTAGCAATGAATTTTAGGTCAAGAAGTTTCGACAGTTTAATAATGATCCTTGAAGATATAGGTTCGTTTGATTAGGCAATTTATCATATGTGCTTTACACCACAATAATCAATAAAGTATAAAAACATATATATATATATATATATACATATATTACATCTTATCAATAGAACAATGTTTTTATCAATATTTCTGGTATTCTGCATTTCTCTTCTGATACATAATAACCTAAAGGCAGAAAACAAAATCTAATATTCTGTCAAGACAGAAGCATTATACGCTCAATTTTTTCAAAAGGGTTCTGTCAACGTTTCAATAACAAAGTTCTTTAAAGTATATTACGATGCAAATTCTACATGAAATACTATATGTACTGCATTGGCTTTGACAAAAAATTAGTCGATATACTTAACATTTCTTAATATTTTGTTAACTTGTTTACTCATAATTTAATTATTTTATATGATATGTATAGAATTTAAATATTTTAATGTTTTTAGTGCTTTATATTAGTATTACGCTGTATTTAATAATAGGATAAAAAATATTTTAATAAGATTCATAATGCTTAATTTTTAGTTTAAATTTTTGGTAATACATAATGATATATTTGTAGAAATTATTTATGTCCATTTAAATTTTTTACCATATTTTCCTAATACCTTTCCATTATACTCAAAATAAATATATAAAAATACAAGTATATAGCACTGTAAATAAATGAATATTTAATGTCGCATTATAATTTATTTGAATGCAGAAAGTATTTACGCTATTTCATTATAAATTCGTATAAAAAGTTTATCTTGTCTCTGATCCAAATTCTAATAAAAATTAGAAAGATATATTTTAAAAGTGTACATAAATAAGTACAATAAAAAAGTAATAATGCATTAAATTAATAAAGTGGAATTGAGATATTAATTGAAAAATCTATAAACTCTATTAAAATATCATTCATATACATTTTTAATATTATATAAAATATAAATGTATAAATATATATGTTTTGTTAATATTTCATTTCATTTATTTCACATAAATTATAGTAATGTCATTTTCGATATATTAATATTATAAATAATTTTTATTTTATTATTTATTAGATAATTTGTACACAATCGTTATATTTCATTTACTATAGTGTTTCTTATTTGTTTCTATAACTATTTTTGTAATAATAAATTTAATTTAATGTTATTGAAATATTCTATATAATTTTACATAAAACATTCTTATAGAAATTTACGCTTTAAATAATGTATTTAAAAAAATTTTACTGCTATCCAAAATATATTTTATACCTTAAAATACGTAAAAATAAAGTTGGAGAGCAAGAAGAATAATTACATTATAAAAACATAAGTTGTATATTTAACTAAGCACGCATTATATGAGAAATATTTATTTAGAACATATGAAATTTCAGAAATTTTATTTGTACTTACTCTTTTGCATTGTAGAGTTATGTAATATTCAAAATTAAAGCTTTTATTTGATAATAAACTATTTGATATAGAAATTTTAATTGGTACTTGCAATATTCTTACTATTAGCAGATTCATATAATTTATTTTGTTTTAATAGCTTATTATAATGGTTATATGTTTAGAAGCAGAATGGATACAGATATTTCATAAATCTAATTATAAATAATATATGAAATTCATTAAAACAGAATTTAATAAGTATACTTTTGATATTCTACATATGTTAAATTTAGACATTTTTACTCAGTATATTTTAAATAATAATAAAAAGTACTACAATACAATACGACAACTGCATTAAATGCAATAAAAAAATTTATATAATAAATTATTATTATTATTCGATTATTAGTTGTAAAATTAATTTTTTAAAAATCATTAA